ATCTCACAGTTCGTGAGATTAAGTCCCTCATCAGGCTCTGGGCCGACAGGGTGAATCCTGCTTGGGAGTCTCTCTCCCCCTCTCTTGCCCCTTCCCAGCTCATGCTCTCTCTCTCTCAAAATAAACATTTTTAAAAATAAAATAAAATAAAACTTAGTTTCAGAACACTGACAAAGTTAATTTGGGCAGTAACAGAAACAATGGCAGATATTTCATTTAAAAAAAATACCTGTGTGGCATTAACATATTCTAACAAATCTCTTGGATTACTTCTTTAAATAGTCACAATCTCAATGGCCAAGTGTACTTCGGTGTTTGAGTAAAGGAATTTGACCATCAGAAATCAATCATATTTTAGTTGTCTCTTTGGAACTCTGACATAGGATTAGGAAATAGAAAGCTTCTGCCAGGTGAGGATGATGTGAACAGAGTTTTGGCTGTTTGTCCAAGTCACTAATTAGAATACGGGGGAATCAACAACTGGCAACTCTAAAGGCACCTCCAACTGCAACAGCCACTACAGTCACCGAAAGACAGTCTCTAAGCCTTCTGCATCCATCACTTCTGGGACCTTTAGACTTGTCCTCCAATCCATCAGTGAGAAGAGACATGTTCTTACAAATGCAGAACCAAAAATATTAAACTGTTTTTGACCAAACTTGGAGCACTTGGCCAGCTTCTTGGCACTGGTAGTCTCCTAATTTTAGGATAAGGAAATTAGGAAATCTTTCTAATTTCTAGACTGAGTTCATACAAACAAATTGAAACTAAAATTCACTCATGAGAATTCTGCTCTTCCCCATCCTAGTCAAAAGTAGTTGTAGATTTGTTACTTAAAATATTTCTGATAGTACAGGATGTAAAACGCAATGATACACCACAATTTTAAATTAAGGATTGTTTCCTTTATGAGCCCAGTCTCTGAAATCAGTCTCTGATATGCATGGGACTCCTGAGAAAATCCTGACTTGGCAACCAGTTTTTCAGAATTCAATTCTGTCTTTAAGATACTCACTTTTTGTCTCCTATAAACTAGGTAAATAGTAATTATCTTTATGCATATTAATGTTTTTAAATTTTGTACTTTTAGTGCACCCACTAATTTGCATTTTATTTAAACAAAAATGTAAAGATGTATAATAAATATAAATAGGTAAATCTATTGATAATTGAATAAATATCAATAAATATCTGAAACTGGTACACAAACCAAGTCTTTAAAAGGCTTATTAGGGGCACCTGGGTGGCTCAGTCGGTTGAGCGTCCGGCTTCGGCTCAGGTCATGATCTCACGGTTTGTGAGTTCGAGCCCCGCGTCAGGCTCTGTGCTGACAGCTCGGAGCCTGGAGCCTGTTTCGGATTCTGTGTCTCTCTCTCTGCTCCTCCCCTGCTCATGCTCTGTCTCTGTCTCTCAAAAATAAATAAATAAACATTTTAAATTTTTTTTAAAAAAAAAGCTTATTAAACCCAGCCATTTGAATTTGCCTTAAGCTAAGAGTTGGCATTCAAAGTTGATGATGGAGATGCAAATTGCTTTTCCAAAGAGCTGTTTATATTGGTTAAGCTGCTTCTTACATGTAAAATAGTGGGGAAAAGGGAAAAGACAAACACTTTCTCAGGCTTCTCATGATTTTTTTAATCTATTCTGTGCAAAAAATATGGCTTACAGTTTATTGCTGAAATGTAGGAACCTGAAGATTCCCAGTCCACAGTGTTAAATTTAACAAGTATCTCAATTGCTTGCAGAATAATTACTTCCAGAACTTTAATACTATTCTATTAACAGTTAAACCCCTTCTATTCATGCAGAGAAATTCTAACAAGAGCCATGGACTCAAAAATGCCCAATTGATACCATACCATGACAATGCATCGTTTTTATCATAAGTAGATAAACCAGTAACTTGTATCATTATTCTTCCATGAGGCAAGAATCTGCAATAGTTATTTCTTTGTAGTAATTTCAATTTTACTAAAATGTTTCTGAAAAGAACAATAGGTAATGACAAACACATGTTTGCATTAGGTGCTATTTCCACATTGCAGGTTTTTTCTATAACTTAGCAAAGTTATGAAATAATATTTAAGATTCTAGCGAAGGTGATTATCTTAGGACAACCTAAAATTTATTTTCTCCAAATAACAAATAAATTTCTAGTATAAGTAAAACTTAACTGACCAGTCTGTTAAAGCAACAAGTTGGTCTAATAGAGTTTTAATCTAACCCTTAGAACCTTCATCTTCATCATGATCCTCGTCTAGAACAGGAAGAGTATATTGGATACAAAGTCCTGTATCATCGTGACTTTTCTATATTACAGAGGGAGGTGATGATGTAGCAGTTTGGGATAAGTGTGTACAGGGCCAGAAGAGTCCTGAAAGCTTAGATTTTTCAAAATTGAAAGTCTTTTTGGAAGTTTGTTACATTTTCTTTTTCTTTTAAAGGAAAACTACACAGAAAAATAATTGAATTCATTGGATGTTAGTTAGCTATGTTCTTAAAAAGCAACATTTCAAGAAGAGATTGGAAAGCAGGGCAGACGGGTGGAGATTGAAGTATATTTTTATCTCATCTTGAATTTGGAATCAAAAAAGGACAGATTAGACCCCGTAATGGAAATCACAGTCCACTAATCAGATGATCCTAAAATTTTTTTTAATGATTTTCTCTTTCTCATTTAGTCCTCTTTTTGCTAAGAGCAACTAACTCCTAAGTGATCATTGTGATAAATAAATCCCAGAATAACAAGATTTATCTGTGGCAAATTTGTCCCACAGTTAGAATTCATGATGCATTTATTGCCTGTTGTTCCAGAGTCTGTTCTAACATTAGCTTCTAAATTCCACAGCAAATTAATGCATTGATAGAAATGGTTGTCGAGATACATTGGAGGATTTTGAGAGATGGACATTAAATGGAATGATGTGTCTTTGACTTGCAGTTGAAGGCTTTGTTTAGTCAAATCTGTTGCTGAGTCCTCACTTTAGAACTCTGTGGTCTTGTGTTCCCTATAGTACTTCTATTATTTTCTATATGAGAACATACTTATCCTTATGCAGCATGAAGGGAAGATGAAAATGGGTTAGTGTTTTAATTTGGCTTCTTTGGTTAACCTTTGAGACTCTTAATATCCCAATCCCTCATTTGTGACTTTAAAAATGGGTTACCTTACGTATTTCTTCTTCTGTTTATTTCGCTGGGATTATATACAGTAATTTTTTTTAAAAGAAAGTTTAATGTCCATAAACAATGCTATATAAATAAATTGATCCAATTTGGTATAAGTAAATTGAACACCTAAGCCTTCTCACTGCTATTGTAATTTTCTCAGTTGAGTTGAATGATAACAGTAGAATCAGGGAAAGCCAGCCACACTTCTTCAGACATCTTGACTTTCTTTTAAAGAAAAAAAAATTACCTTCTTCTCAATCTCCCTGCTAAATAAAGACTCTACACAGGAAAAAAAAAAAAAAAAAAAAAAAAAAAAAAAAACAGCTATAATCATTTAGGAGACCTCAATCATCTCTTATGTTCATTGATATTTGGTATTCTTGAATTAACTAGCACGACAGTAAACCAAAAATGTGTGCAATGCTGTATGCCACAACTGTTTGCCAGGCTTGAGACTGAAACTCCTAACTTGTTTTGACTGGGCAACTAATAGCAATTTAGATAGTTCTGTACAAATTTAGAGACATCAGATGCAAAACCATTACTGTATTCCAGCACATTCTTCCTGTCAGAACCATTTAAATCACCATCTTACACAAGCACATATTGAAACTCAACTTTAAGCATTTTATTTTTATGTACATTTCATTTTGTCCAGAAATAAAATATCTAAATACAGACAGACTGTAATGTTGTATATGTATAGCTTTCAACAATACTTGAGCTGAATAAATGCTTTGTACATTAGGTTTGTCTTTTTAATGGAGGTCACAGCTACATTGATAAAATGGATTCCTCATATCCTTTTTTTTTCTTTTTTAACCAATAACAAGCAGAGAGACAAGTACAAGTTAATATTAATAAGCAGCTCAAATAACACTTGGTTAAACTATGTACAATACAAACCATTCATACAAATGAAGACTAGGATATTGAATTTGTTACAATATGTGTAGTAAAGATAAGACAGACACTTATAACTTACATGGTGTCTGTCAGGCATTTCCCTTCTTATATAATGATCAGAACTTGTTTTAAGCAGCCTTAGTTGGTCTCAACTTTGCGAAAGTCCAAAGACTGGTGATGAAAGCTGTAATCCAATGTCTGCCCACATGTAAATTCCAAATGTTTGCTCATCTTTACTGAAAACAGGCTCCCTCCATAGAAAAAAAAAAAAAAAAAAAAAAAAAAAAAGAGCCATCTTATATTACCTTGAATGTGCCTACTGTATGCTGGAAAAAAGTTACTACACTTTGTTGTGTTCATAAAATAAAGAATACTGAGCTCTAAAGACACATTTTTTTTTCCATTTGAACAAGCATATATTCCTACAGTAGTATTTACCAGTACAGCTACTCCAAGCAGTAGGAATGCATGAGTGGGGATTATTGATTAGCATGTACTCAAGACTTTAAAAGAGATTTCCATAACAGCAAGTGTTAGAAACCATTCACTGTCTAGTTAATCCTTTTGCTTGATGATAGTTTATCCTGAACCATTATGAGTCAGATAACGAAAGCCCTCCTGACAGCAATCATGACAGATGCAAGCTGAAATGTATATGAACGTGTGTTTGTGTATATCTATGTGTGAGAGTATGTCTTCAAGTGTGCCTTTAAAACCTGTAGTGATTTACAACTATGCTGAGAGATGAAGCTGACTGGGCAGAAATTACATCGGATTGTTTTCCACTAGCGTCTTTGCAGCCAGTTGACGAGAGCAGCAGTGTAGACACATTCCAGGCAACAGATGTGACCTTCCTCTTTGAGGTAACAGCCCTGTCATATGACCTTTAATTCCTCAGGCTTCAGTCTCACCCATGTCCATCCTCATCCGGAGGGGAAGTAAGGTGTGTCACTGTGGTAGTTGTAGTCGGGGCACACTTTCTGTACTAGTTTATAATCTGTACTATAAAAGGAAATGTAAATACAGATCACCTTGAAGGGCTTGGAGCAGAGCCAGGATACATGACTTTGGGTCTGCTCCTGGTAACAGGTTTTTGAAGGATCATAGTTGCAGAGTGTGTTCTTGGTAGCCTTGTCAACCTTCTCATATTCAATGCGACAGTTAAAGGACTTGGAATCTTTGGCATCAATCACGGTTTGTTGTGCCAAGTCGAATTCCACTATTTTTGTAGGGGGCACCAAGCTGACAGATACATTCCCTTGACCAGTGGAGTTATGCCTGAAATAAACACTAAATGTCCCATTGCCGTGATCTACAATTTTCCCAGTTATCAACAGGTTTAGCTTCACTGTTTTGATGTTGGAATGAAAATCACCCCATCCAAACATTTTCTTAAACTTGCCCGTCTTAACAATGGGCCTTCGCTTGGCCCTGGGCCGAGGCTCTTGTTGGTCTGTGGAGTTCCTCAGCCAGTCCCAAAGGTCTTGCTCAGAATAAGGTTCTGGGGTGTCATATCGCAGGTCTACATCTGTATCATTTTCTTTGCCACGAAAAGTCTGTGACAGAAGTCGGCTGATAGACAAGTCTTTGCTGCTTTCTGTCCATATGTGCTTTAGTGTGGATTTGCTGCTTCCTGATTTTAGAAGTTCTGACTTCCCACCATTCGTTAAATTGGCACATGTGACCTGCAAATGGAACAGAAAAAAATGGTGTTTACATCTCTGTATCTGAGAACAGCTCTTTCTCAGAGGCTCAGAATTAAATGAAGATACTTCACTTAAATTATCTTCAGCATTTGGCCAATATTTATATATATAATATTGGGAGAGAGGAGGTATAGGTGGATAAAAACCACTAAACATGGCTGAAAGACTATATAAAAACATTGACTTTGACAAGGAAAAGACCATCTAAGATGAGTAGAGCAAACTGCATTCAAACAGAAATTAAACCAGTTATTTCTCAGCACTAAGATCCAAAAACTTTTAAAATAAAAACTTTACAAATAATTGTTACTTTTCTACTTCAAAATTGCCATTAGCTTTAAAACTATATGATTCTCAGAATTATGTCAACCAACATCCTAAAGATTTTTGGTCACCCATGCCACAGTTATATTAGAAAAGTCAGTTTTGGCAAGAGACTCCAGTATATTTTAACTGGTCAAAAGAAATCATGTTTATTATCAGCTATTAGTAGCATGGAACATACTGGATAAGACATAATGTTTTTACCCTAAGGGCTTAAAATGTGGTCCAGGAAAAGGGACATAAATGAAAATATCAAATACACAATGTCTTATAGATAATTGTCAATCTAGAGAAGCTAACAACACATGGTCAGTGACAGAGAGGTCACTTCAAGTTGGATTGTGAGAGTCACATTCAGAGCCATTCTCCTGGGATCCTGGTCTTCTCTCTGGGAAGATTTAGATTCCACAGCTAGACCAGGGAACCCTAAATCTAACTGACTGATCAAACATTCAGATCTGTCTTGCCAAATTATACAGGCATTGTCCTATATTTCACAGCTCCTATATTTATGTTTTAGTGTAGAAGAAATAAAAGAAAGAAATGAGAATCCACGATGCATTCATTAGTCTAAAGTTAAAGCAGTGACTTCTGATGTTAACATGGAGAGCTCAAGGACAGTAGAGAAGACAGCTAAGGGCCCACAGGAATCAAAACAGCCAATACAAATAAACCCTTTAAGATGTGGACTGATTGCCTGTAAGGTAAGTCTGCTAAAGAGCCAAGATTCACAATAAACCTCTATCACCAGCCCCCTCTAGAATCAGTTCTAAGTCCTATCTCAGACATGAGTCTGACTACCACTCAGCAGCCTCATTTGGGCCTGCTAGTCTCCTTCCAAACTGTTCTCAAAATAAGAGGTAATTGCTGGAGAGCTTTTTAATTCAGGCCTACTAGGAATTAGAGCTGCATTCTAGGGATCTCTCCACAGACTTAGGCGTGGAGGCTTCTTGCTAAGATACAACCCTGGCCTGAGAATGGCCTTTTACTCAGTCACTTGTGCTAAAAGGACTCTATCCCAATCCCTAGGGACCAGCGCATAAACTTTAAATCAGTCTTTCTGGAATCCATGCTCAGTGCTGCCACTTTCAAGCTATGTGCCCTTGGTCAAGTCATTTAACATCCCTTTACTTAGTTTCCCGCAAATGCAAAGTGAGGGTAACAATGGTGCCTACCTCATAGCATGGCTAACACATGTAAATGGTTCAGTTAAATTTAGCTATGTTTATAAATCCCAAGCTGCTATGTGAAGACAAGTAGAGAAAAAAGGCCACCAAATAGTACATATGGAAGTCTGGCTTGAGAGTAGCTTTGCTCTTGGTCACATGGCCAAGTATTCAGAATCTGCACAGGGTAGGTTTCCCAGGGACATATACATACAAGAGGGCCTGGTAATCTAAACTAGAACAAAATCACTTAGAACTTGTAATCTTGTCTTTTCACAGATTCCTCAGGAACAATGAGCTTTACATTACCAGCTGGTAAATAGTCTTATCTCTGCCCAGCTCAAACTGACAGATGTGAATTCTATGAGGCCATTCCCCTCTAGAATAAACTACCAGTTGAAGCTGGTCTCTTCCCAGTAATTCTGAGCTTTAAAAAAAAAAAAAAACCCTGCAAGCTAGTTAGTCCCACACAAATTCATTGCATCTGAGACTAAATGAGATTTTATAATGGATTTATGTCCCATGACTATACCCTGAAAAACCAAGATGGCAATATTGGGTAGGCTAACACAAAATGTCACTATTTCAAGCTGCTAGTCTAAGTCCAGTTGCAACCCCTGTGATCCCCCGGCAACAGTGATGCCTTTATAAAAAGATCCAGAAGGCCATTGTGCACAGAGGTTAACAGAGGAGAGACAAACACTGACCAAGGGAGAATAAGACCCTAGGGATGGGATGAGGCTCAGAAAAATGGATGGATTGTGGTGGGGATGAGATCACATATAAGAGAAATACAGATCAGCCTCATGTACATAGTCTCCAAATTCTTAAAACATATTACCCAACTGAAATGAACAAACCTCCTCATGTGGAATCAAGGATGGCTATCATCAGATGGGCCACTATTGATCTTGGGGCAAATACTGGGAATTGAAAGAAGTTTGTCTTTGCTGCCAACTTTCTTTTAGTGCTAGGTTCTTCCCCTTCAGTTCTCCTCAACCCTTGAATTGGTCTGTCTCTTTTCCCCCTGTGCCCAAACTGCACCTTTTCCCCCTGCACCTGTTTTCAGAATCCCTTCATGCCAAAACATTCCAGAAATGGATCATACTCAAGCAGTATGTGAGTAAAAATAGCTAAGTGGCTGCCTTATCAAAATTCAATTTGTTGTTTAACAAGGACTGAATATTAAGTCTTAAAGGGATGAAACTGAGAAATAAATATCCTGTGGGGAGGGGGATGATACATAGAAATGTATGACTTTTCTTAAGGGAAAAGCATAAATTTCCCACCTATCCTCTTCACCTGATAATAAAGTCAGTTCTCTATGGAACAATTTTTACTCTAATATGAAAAGTATAATCCTTAGTAGTTCCCAAGTTAATATTATAACTTTATAATTTACAAAACAAATAAAAACAACTACAATTCTCCTACCAATTCACTGAAGGAAGTACATTTCAAAATACACTTTTTCTATAAAACAAACATTAATTTATAAGAGTAGTACATATCTGTTAGCTTGGAGTTTATTTTTTGTATATTTGTTTTATGTTGTCTCAATGAAATCTAATTGGTTAGTCAAACATCCAAATCTCAACTTGCTTGATTATATAAATGTTGTCATTAACACAGCTTCTATATTTATGCTTAAGGTACAAGAAATAAAAGAAACAAACGCATATCCTATTTTCTCATTTTTACCTGGAATTACATAACTATTTTCCCATTCTTTGGATGACAAAAAAAAAATACAGGAATGCATTTGGTACTGGCTTGGCACTTGTATCTCAGAATCAACACAGTTGATCAGGAGATGCACTGTAATGAGCACTGGCTCAAGAAGCAGTAATGAAATTGTCCCAAAAAAGAAAGTTAAATGTAATTAGACTGCAATCCAGCAATGGCATATAAGGAGTGAAAGAAAAGAAAAAAGGAAAGGAAAGGAAAGGAAGGGAAAGAAAGGAAAGGAAAGGAAAGGAAAGGAAAGGAAAGAAAAGAAAAGAAAAGAAAAGAAAAGAAAAGAAAAGAAAAGAAAGAAAGAAAAGAAAGAAAAGAAAAGAAAAGAAAAGAAAAGAAAAAGAAAGAAGAAAAGAAAAAAAAAAAAAAAGAAAAGAAACATGGAAGTGGGAGATAGGATTTTAAAGGACCAATCTATCCAAAAAAGACGCTAAGACTGGCAGGCAGAAAAACTTCTGAATTTCAGATAGAACAGAAATTTAGTTCTAAATTATACTCTCCACAGCTGTAGTGATTATGAGTATGAGTTCTGGAGTCAGATGGCCTCCCAATCCAGGCTGAGGTATGTAACAGGTATATGATGTAGGGAAGTTGCTCAAGTTGTGTATACTTATGTTTTTCTTTTGTAGAAAACAGGAGAATAATGCCCACCTCTCTCATAGAGCTGCTGTGTGAATTAAACAGGACACTCCATTTAAGGCACTAAGAGCAGTATCTGGGCCACGGTGATTGTTCAACATTATTTTTTTTTTTAATTTTTTTTTCAACGTTTATTTATTTTTTTGGGACAGAGAGAGACAGAGCATGAATGGGGGAGGGGCAGAGAGAGAGGGAGACACAGAATCGGAAACAGGCTCCAGGCTCTGAGCCATCAGCCCAGAGCCTGATGCGGGGCTCGAACTCACGGACCGTGAGATCGTGACCTGGCTGAAGTCGGACGCTTAACCGACTGCGCCACCCAGGCTCCCTTCAACATTATTAATACTATTAACATCCTCAAATATTTTAACCTTTAAATCTCACTACATAATATTTTATGTAAATGAATAATAATAGGATGTGAGAGCAGAAAATATTTTCAAAAGAAAATCTCCTTTTTACATAACCAAAAACTTTAGCAAACAATTAAAAAAAGAAAGCATATAATTTTGAGAGTTCTTGTATTACAATGAAAAAACATGGCAGGTCGAATAGGCAGTAAAACTCAAGTTAACAAAAAATTAACATAAGTTCAGCCATTATGCTGCTCAGCTACCAAATGCAATGAATTTATTTATAATGTGAAAGCCTTCCATTTGTGCTGATTGTCAAGACACCTCTCCAGAACATCTCAGTTTGAGCACAGAATCAAAGCAGGTTTCGGCTGTACTGTCAACAACACAGTCTGGAATATTCTATTCTCATTCCCTTCCCTTCCCTTCCCTTCCCTTCCCTTCCCTTCCCTTCCCTTCCCTTCCCTTCCCTTCCCTTCCCTTCCCTCCCCTTCCCTTCCTTTCCCTTCCCTTCCCTTCCTTTGGGTCTTTAGGAAATTCCCCAGACCTGTCGAGCATAAGCATCCTGATTTATTTTGTTTTATTAGTTCAATAACTATATAGTGAAACTCTGCTAATATTGAGTTAAATAATAGAAATACAAAGATAAATGAAACATGGTCCTTGCCCTCAAGAAGTTCACAGTCTAATGGGAAAATAAATTAAGCATGTTAACAGTGTGATGTATACAACATTCTAGTAGTTAAAATCAAAGTTAAAA